AGGCAGTTTTTGCCGCGCACCACCACTATGTGGAACCAGCTGCCCACTGAAGTATTCCCGAACCAATTCGACTTAGGGTCCTTCAAGAAAAGAGCGTACCAATTTTTAAAAGGCCGGCAACGCACTCGCGAGCCCTCTGGCATTGAGAGTGTCCATGGGCGGCGGTATCACTTAACATCAGGTGAGCCTCCTGCCCGTTTGCCCCCGTTCTATAAAAAAAAAAAAAAAACGTCAACGTATAATTTATTCGTGAGAAGAAATACATTGACTGCCGATTCTCAAATGAACGTAAGCGCGTAGCTAGGTGTAGAAACAACGAGAAGAACTAGAAATAAACTCGCCGTCACTTACAAAACTTTTTTTTTTTTTTAATGGCTCTGGCACGATTTGTGCATTAGCCAGCGTGAAGTATACGGTTTTTTATAAATCGTGCTTGTCTTTAGAAATTCGACCGTGTCCTCCATGTACGGTTTAGGCACTCGCCCGGTACCGCACAACCCTCCCAAAGGCCGAGAACAAATTTAAATTAAATTAAAACTTGCCCTCGAACCGGGAATCGAACCCGGTACCCCTCACCTAGCTGCCACTTAATAAGACCGCTAGGCTATGAGGCCCCTACAAAACGTTTTTTAACAGCTGCAACCATTACATCATGCTCCTCATCACACAAAACAGTAAATTATTGTAATTAAAAAAAAAACATTATCCAATTCACACAGTCCTGCACAGATTGTGAAAATAGTTTCACATTTAGTGCTAGAAGCTTGTAACAGAATAATTAATGGTAATTCGCTTTATACTCTGTTGTGTGAACAAAATAAATACATGAAGCTTACCGAACATTGCTATCTTAACACCTCAATGTTCAAAAAGGTGGATCATTTGAGCCCTCGCATCTATTTTTATTCGTTTGACCGCAAAAGAATGTCGTAAACATAGATTAGTGTTAGTCCCCGTATTTATTTGAACAGTCGTTGACGGAATCGCTGAATGGATCGTTAGAAGATTTTTTTGCGTCGTAAAACGCAGTTGTCTTGAACCATTAGGATATAACATTACAGTAAAATTGTTTCGTAGTAGAAGAATATAAACAATCGTTTGTGTATACTGCGTAAATAATATGCATATGTATACTTTTAATAAGATTCTCTGATACAATAATGCATGATAAATGTTGTTTTGGTAATGTTTAATTATATTTAGCTGACTGTTGTATTAATTTCTGTGTATTTATAGAACATCGTATTAATAATATACATTAATTAATATACCATAAATTAAATGTTTGATTATTAAAACAATATGTTTTAATAATTTGTTAAACTATATATTTATATTACGACGCGTCATTTGTCTATGCTTTCTAGAGTTAATTGGTTCTGAAGTTCAAACTAGTTAAAGCTGATAACTATTATTGTTAAAAATTTATCTGTAATTATGTTTAAAAACTTTTAGTATCTATTTCAAACCTTTCAGAACTATAATTTACTTTTATACTAACACAAATATTGATTACATATCTAAAGTAATTATTACCCGTCAAATCGAATTATTCCAAATTTAAAATTTTGACAGCTTTCGAAGGGAGCATTGTTTGAATTTAAATTTCGAATTGAGTATCGTAAATCTGAACAAACTAAAGCCAGATAACCACAGACTAGCTTACGTAAGTTTTATAAGCCACATGTAAAAGAGCTGACTTTGATAAGGGTCGCCTTATCTTGACGTTTTGCGAAACTCCCTATTTTCTAGATTTTAACTAATGTCAGTGTCAAAACTGGGTGTCGTGAAATTCTTTTGTGGGCGTAGTTAAAGGAAAATATCGTATTCGTTTTTCATATTAAATTACATTTCTCTCAAACCAAGTTGCGCTAATTTAAAACGTAAAATATAAAACTTAGTACACACATCTTAAATACAAAATTTCAAACTTAAAAAACATCTAATTGTAAATAATCTGGACTATTCTTGAATCTTCTTAAACACTCATCAACTTCCGTCCATCCATTTATTGCATTACGGCTTTGTGGGAAAAGATTCGACCATCTTGGTCGTGGCATTGTTGATGATTGTTGATGTCGGCATTGTTGATGTCGGCACGATAAAGTAATGGAAACTCGAAATAAAGTTCAAAACTTCTAATTGTCAATTTTTTAGTCATACTTAACGTTATCCTAATGTTATCTACGTAACATTACGTTAATAGCTGTCAGTTGTGTTTTGTTATTCCGTTTTAACAAATGAACGCCTAGACTGATGTTCTGATTGATATTTTTTTCCGTTTGCTGCGTTTTTTTATGCCACGTTTTATGTCACGTCCTAAGGAAACAGGATAAAAAGCTAATGTCCATCTCCTGATTTTAGCCTACCTCCCCACCAATTTTCAGCCATTTCGGTTCAGCAGTTCTTGAGTTATAAATAATGTAACTAACACGACTTTCTTTTATATATACGTATAGATGTACGTCGTTAAGTGTAAGTGACAAGAGGTAGTTGTAGTAACAAGTTAACACTTTATGTTTCCTTACTAGAAACTCAAATATGAGAAATATATTTCCTCTAAAGAAGGAAATGCATAACAATATTGTATGCGGCGGCCGCATTATTGAAAATTTTGACATTTCCTTAGAAATCCTCGACTACTGCAGTCGGACAAAGATCCTTGGGAAACCTATTTTCAACTTAATTTAATCGCAGCGAAGTGATGTGAGTTTTAAATGACACTAGATATTTTTTCAATTTACTTTTAAAATTGTATGAAAATCTTAAACTGTGACAATTTTTATAATTTGGCTGATCACCTACTTGCCCGTTAGATTGACAAATGATCATGAAACAGATACAGAAATCTGAGGCCAGACCTATAATATTTATAGAGATGACAGCCAAGAATTTGGCTAGACCCCTTGCTTCTATTGAGCAAGCATTAGATTATAAGACTTTGGGAGAAATTCCAAATAATATTTATTGAAGTTATACTTCTTTAGGCGCTTTATGAAAAATTGATGAGAGTGAAATTTTACGATGCGCGCGCACCGTGACATAAAACTAACAGAATGAAGTTGCCCACGGAAGTTGCTACGGCATTGGACATAATTTAAAAACAACATTCAAATAATAATAGGATTTATGTTACACTTAATGTAAGAGAATAATAATAAATATTTATTTATTTAATTTTTCAAAAGTAAACTGAATTTTATTGACTATAATGACTCCTTTTCCAGTCTTTGATTATTTAATTGTAATTAATTGCTTGCAATCAAAATATAATTTTTAATAATGCCAAAGAAGTATAACTTCTTACGCGCGTACATAAGTACACGCAATTTTTTAAATTAGAATTAATAGGCAAGTAGGTGATCACTCTTTTGTGCCTGACACACGACTTTTAAACTTGAAGAATATATTGACACTATCTGGTCAATATATTCTTGAAGCCTTGTTGTAAGTCCAAAAAAATATAAACAATTTTGAAACAAATGGTGACTGTCACCAGTATAATACGCGAAATAGAACTAATTTGAGTGTACGACCAACCAGGCTCCAAAAGATAAACCACTCCTTATATGGAAATTGTATTCGTTTTTACAACAAACTCCCAAACGAAATTGGAGAGTTATCACTAAATAAATTGAAAGCCCTTGTTAAACGAAAATTAATCAACAAAGCTTTTTATAAATTTGAGGAATACTTAAATGATCCTAATCCTTGGGATTGATTTGCTCCAGTTCAAACAATTTGTATGACAATACTTGGCGATTAAAAAGAGTGGCGGAAAGTTTCTTGCCAGTTCTTCTTACCCGCTCTACGCCCTTGACTTGCGAACTAGTAGTAAATGTAAATTTACAATTAATTTAACTTGACAATTCATAAGTGTACCTACTTGTTTACCTACATGAATAAAGATATTTTGAGTTTGAGTTTGAAAAAGGTTTGAGCGCCACTGATATATATTTATTTAAATAATTGACGCTTATGTGACAGATCTTGGAAATAGAGAGCAGTGTTGGCTTCAAAGTGCGACTCTCATCCCTGAGGTCGTAGATTCGAACCGCTATGTACCAATGGACTTTCTAAGTGCCGATCGTACGATGAAGAAAAATGTGGTGTGGAAACCGGCATGCCTTAGACCCTAAAAGTCCTTAGGCACAAAAGAGTGATCACCTACTTGCCTTTTAGAAAAACAACGTAACGTAAGTTTGTAGCAACATTCGTAAGTTATCCCCCGTTCGTTTGTCGCCTATAAATAGACGAATTGCTAAGTTGAAATTGTGAAGATGTCATTAGTGTACACCAACTGAAGGAGGAGTACTCTCAACAGAAGTCAAGCTAATTATAGTCAAACGATAACTCCATTAATTTTTAGTAGCATACGATTCTCTTTGTAAAATTATACACAATACAATATTGTGTATTATACCCGATACATTATATTTAGTCATTTGTCCGTTAGTGTATTTATAGTTTTTACTTTTCTTTCTATCTGAATGCACAGCGTTCTTCAAATGAAAGTAATCGATTAAAATGCGGTTCCATTTCTGTTCATGCACATTCAGATAGATTTTTCACGCGAACGATTTGCGGGTAACAAGTGATTAAACATAAAATTATTGTTATATTTGACCCATATACCGGTTGTGGTACAAATATTCAATTATTAAATCTTTTATCAAAATATTTAAATTCGGATGAAGACAATTCAATGAATTTGGAAAGGTTTTGCAACCACCTCTTAAAATGTATACACGATAGCATTATAACGAAATATGAATGATGACACATCAGGGAAATCTTAACGCTGTTTAGAATTTTTATTAGCGCTTTTTTTGCTACTTTATTGGTATTTTATGACTTAGCGTAAAACCATCGGCTCTATTTTATGTCCCAGATGTCATTTATTGATATCGACGTAAATTTTATATAATACCGATATTTTGCGGATATAACTGATGATAGGATTTGGGTTTTTGTTCCACCACGCTAAAAGTTTCAGGTTGATGCGGGCTCTAGTATTCCCTATCTTCCTACGTGGAGCAGATACTATCTTTGCTCGAGAAAGGCAAAATATTGATCATTATGAGATGTGGTGCCGTTGGCGAATGTTAAAAATACCGGACTGCGAAGCATACCAGTACATCGATCCTAACCCAACTTCGTATACCATATGCCAACAACGAATTCTATCATATTACCATAAAATGCGCAGAGGTAATGAAACCTTGGAGAAACTGATCACGGTTCGTAATACAGAAGCCAAAAGATCTAGTGGCCGTTCACCAACCAGATGGACCGATCAAGTAAAAGATTCATCGCCCTCAAAACTATATACTGTAATAAGAGAGGAGCTGGACAAAAACCATCATCAACCATCAAAACCAAATATCACCCTTGACGTTCACTGGACTAGAATTAAGACAGTGACTTCAAAAATTAGGTTCTCAAAGGGTTTGCCTTGGCGGCTCAGTATAAGCGCACATAGCGTATGCTTGGGCGTAGCTTCCAGCACATAATATCTGTATCCTTTTTAAAGTTAAGAATGTACCACAAAATACATACAAACGAAGACATTTGGCCCCATACTATGGTTTTATAGGTACTCTGTAACAACTAATAACAAATTGCTACAGACGTTTTCATTTGCAACTTTGATATAGTTCTTTCAATATCTGTAAACTTATGTCACAACCTTGGAATAGCGCAGTACATTACATTGAAGACGGTCGCAATATCGCCATTAGAAGATAAAATACCGGTACTCAATGTTATATTGGTAGCAACTTGTCGAAGAATTTTTTTAACAAATATAAAAACTTATATTATTGAATTGAAACATATGGATCCCACATTAACATATTATGGAAGTTTATAGTGAATTGAAATAGCTTCAAATCGTAAAATCCTTTATTAACCCAGAAAATTAACTGGAGTACTGAACTTTACGATCTCTTTATTGCAATAAAAATAAACGAGAGATTTCATAGCGGACATAATTTTATTGAAACGTCATTGATATAAAACGCAGTGGTGTCGTAAATTAATAATTTCAATTCAGTGATTATTTGAATAGTTTTGCGGTTGTGTTTCGGTTCTTGAATTTATCCTCTGAAACTTTCGTAACAGTTTTTTAGAAATACAATCAATAATTGTTTTTTTTAAATTATATCTTCTTCAATTTTCCTTTCTCCATCTATAATCTAGCCTAATTAAGGACTAATAAATAATATAAGTTTCTTAGTATATTTAATCTATAGTAGATTAGGTTAGACGAATAGCTAAAGACATTTAACATGAAAAGTGTACATTAACACTACTTACAGTCTTTATTTAGGGGACCGGCAACGCACTCGCGAGCCCTCTGGCATTGAGAGTGTCCATGGGCGGCGGTATCACTTAACATCAGGTGAGCCTCCTGCCCGTTTGCCCCCGTTCTATTAAAAAAAAAAAAGAACACAGTTTAGCCTTAATTTATGTGAGAAATATTTGATTTATTTATTTGGTTTGTTTTTTTATGGGACAAAGGCAAACGTAAAAGCCATAAAGTTGCGAACAGTAGCCCATGAATTTATAAATGATATTAATTGTTCTTTTATTTAGCTTTAACAATACTAATTTCCGCTAGTATATAATGTAAAATGCGAATAAACAGAAAACGTAATATAATAAAATATACTGATTTTTTATTACCGTTTTCTTAGATTATTTATTTATTAACAGTTCGTTGAAAAATGTATTAAATTATATTATATAGATAGATAAAGATATTTATTTTTATCTATCTATAATAGCTGTATGAAATAATACGGTCAGTGTGGCTTAATCGTTAAACAAGAAGTTTGATCAACTGAATCATGTTGCATATGGCTTAGTTATAAATCAGTTTCAGAATGCATTTCTAAACGAGTTAATTAAAGTGTCATTCACACAAAGTTCTCTTTTTGCTACATACACTTAGCTTGCAATTTTGGCTTTCGGAGGCCGAATTTCCGTATGACATTTGCAATACTCACAAGTGAACTATCCTCCATTAGACAACTTAAACACGTACCTCATATATATATATATACTAGACACCCGCTTTCTTTTAAGGCAATAGAAATAGAATAATAATAATCCAGAGGTACAATATGAATCTTGGCCTCAGATTGCAACGTTTCTTTAATTTTTTTTATTGATTTTTTGTGACTGACACATGACTTCAATTTCAAATTTTGGGACCAAGACGTCACGACGTTTGCCTTGTAGGAACAAGGCAATGCAAACACTTTTGGACGCATATAAGTCCCTAAATTACGAAGCGTCGCGCGGTGGGCTGCGAGATCTACCTCCCCGGCCCTATCCCTCTCTTCTTTTTGATCCATGACTGCCCCACAGAACCTATGTAAGATTTCTCAAGTGCCGTTGCTCTTCGCTCTTGTTACTACAAGCCTCAAAATATTAAATCGTGTGGAGCGTCTTCGCTGTGGAGCACGCCCAGCAGAGGCCTGCTTTCTATCACCCGTACTAGGCAATCTTTCAGCTTGTGAATCGCGTCGCCGTTTTAATGATAACAAGTCAACACCACACACCGCACTAAACTAAACTAAGTCGTATAATTATTTGTGACTATAGCAATTTATTGTAGAACATTACACGGCTTTTTTTTACCGATTTAAATGTTATTGTCCTAATTAAATTATTACGGGGAGTATTTTACATATTTGTAGTATGTAAAAATTGTATATTATATAGTTATTACATTAACAGCTTACCTACTTAAGATCCATTAAGTGAATGAAAATTTGGTATCAAGAAATTAAAACCAGACTACAAAATAATAAAGTACGTCCTTCATATTTTGTAAAATATTCACACTAAACTGACACGTAATTTCGACTTGTAGAAGACGTATTCCCGTACGATAAATTGGTAGAAAAATGATCATGTAGTCCGGACGGTCGTTGGAAATTCTATTATTTTCCGAACATCTTAATTTCGGGACTTACAATGGACGAAGGGAACAAAGCGCTGTCCCTTTGCGTGAAACGCGTACAACGCAGGGTTGGCACTTATTCTTTTAATAAATTGCCGATTTATTGAATATTTTAATAAGTTCAAATTCCGCGATTATGAATTTCTTTTTAATATAAAACACTAATAACCGTGCCTTATGTATATGTTACCTTTGTGTTCCTTCAACTGTTTTCACTGCTTCCTATTAGAGTTAAACCCAGTCTGGACCCAGCCTGATGCGAATTTCGTCTCACCAACAGGGTTGCCCTTTTTTTTTTTTTCTATCCCTATACCTTTTGGTAGGGATAGAAAACTATTTGGTGCTTGATTCATTTTTTGTTCTTTAAAACAGTTGATTGCTATTATAAATATCTTTGTTGTAAAAAATAATGAATTTTTATTATGAAAACTTAACCTTAAAGCAGAATGTTTTTTTTAAATATTTTATATTATTCATTAATTTACTTTAAATATATTAACCTAGTTAGAATAGTTTTACTTTCTTAATCATATGTTTAACAATCCTAAAATTCCACTTTTAATCTCAAACATTGAGAGCCCTAACAAAGATTGAAATTTAAAAATATGTCAACAGTATAATCCCTCAATTTCTTTTGTCAGCCCTAGTGTCTATTGTCCGCCTCGTGATGTATAGACTTCGATCAGTATAGGACAGCGACCCACAGTTTTCCATACAATGACTTATGACCTAACAACGTGTCGTATCTACGTTTTTTTAACTTTCATAGGGATGGTTTTATGAGGATTTTCATTAGCTTTTTCCAGACTTTCCTAGGGTGTTTGATAGTAAGGAAAATGTTCACAGTAAGTTTTATGTTGAAGATTATTTCATAGAAGAGCTTTACAATAAAAAATTAATGGTTCGGGACTCTTCCAACTAGGAAGACTGTTAATTAATTATATTTATTATGGCAAGAACTTGGTGTCCACTTATATACACCATTAAAACCTTCCAAGGTAAGACATAGAGAGCGATGAAAGAATGAGTAAAGAATGACCACTTTTAATAATTGCGTTAAATTCATAAACCAAAAGATATTTTTTAATTATGCTAATTCAAATAAGGAACAGTTTTAACTCTTACTTTCAATCCCCTTTTCCCTGACAGATACAAATTATACACCATGTAATTTACTAAAAGCTTCCGACGGAGATAATATAATTGGGCGTTTAATAATTTTTATTACCACAAACACTCAAATATAATATAATTTTTTAACAAATTAAAAACAAAAATATATTTAATATATTGGCTATCCTTTTTTCAATAGGTTTTTTTAGTTTTACTATTAATATCAAACTTTTTTCAGAAAAGCTGCGTCAGTACTTGAACTAAGAACTCGTTAAGTGCTTTAATTAAAGCTTTAAATAAAACTTGATTTTTAGCTGAAGCGTTGTAAATATTTTTAATTTGCGTACTATTTTTAATTAAATAATTATTATACCAGTGAATTATGTGTATAAACTATATGAACATCTATAGAATTTGTGCGGAAACCGTTTTTATATGTGAAATCGCAGCAGTGCCTAATGAAGGTAATTTGTTTGGTTTGTTAATAACACTAATATCATGTATTGTTCGACAGTATCTTGATACATAGAAAAAATAGTGTTATATTTTTGTAAATTAATATTGTGACGTAGCAAATAAGAATTGTATTTGTTATTATAACCGCTACGCCGGTTCTCTTTCCGGTTGACTAGAATACAATGCCTAAAATGTATATATAATTTCACTTAGAATATTTTTTCCTTTTAAATTACGAGTGTTCGAGAAACGGTGATAGATACAGTAATGAAAATTAAGTAAGTTTGAACAACATAAAATTGTTTAAATATTAAATAGAAATTGTATGGATTATTTATTTTATTATTTATTTATTAACATTTCGTTGCAGAAACATCATAAAATTGACTTATTAAAATTAATAGGAGGGCACTGGTGGCCTTATCGCTTTCGAGCGATCTCTTCCAAGCAACCACTGTGAAATAAAATTCAATAAGCTAAGCAAGAAGTGCAAACATACATAATACATATAGTTATTTAGACAATACTAAAACAGGAACAAAAAACTTAACTATAAAAGGACATGACAAATAAAAAGTCACGCCAGTTGCTATCATTTATAATTTATCTTATTAAACGGTAATTAAATCTCTTGGGCGTACTCTAATCAAAGCTTATAATAAACAGCAAATTCTCATGTATCACCTAGACGTTCGCCGTTCCACAACTGAGCGATTTTTTAGGCCAGTTTTTGCCGCACACCACCGCTATATGGAACAAGCTTGAACCACTAAGCCAATCTACTCATTATTAATATGTCTATTGCTTATTTCAAAACAGCCACAAACTGCAATTTGATCATATTATTATATAGACTCGATTGAAAAATATCCTAAAAATAATTTCACAATTCGACAACCTGTCATATATAGTTTCATAGTTTTAAATATTATCAATGTTTAAAGTTTCTGAAAAAAAATATATTTATCGAGA